TCATCACACAATGCCACTCCAATAATCTAGACTATAAACTGGGATAGACAAAAACTTGATGTAATAATCTATCCTTAAGGGAATGGGTGGAAATATGTTATTTATTAGTCACTGGTTCATTCAGTCACTCTGCATGCCTACCAGATAACAGATAAAGTTCTCGTCCTGGGTCACTGCTCCAATAATTAAAATTTGTCGCTTTTCCCCACCCCTTACACTCTAGCACTTGAACCCTCTTACTACACCAGAATTCCACACTGTCAATGAAAAGAGTCAAACTCAGTAACATATTTGGAGAGATTTATTTTGAGCCAAAAGTGAGTGACCACAGCCCATGATGCAGTCCTCAGGAGACCCTGAGAACATGTGCTCAAGGTGGCTGGGGCACAGGTTGGTTTTATACATTTTAGGAACATATGAGACATCAATCAAATACTTTTAAGCTATACATTGTTTCGGTCCAGAAAGTTGGAACAATTTGAAGCAAGCAAGGGTTGCGGGGTAGTGCTTCCGGGTTCCAAGTAGATTTTTAATTTTTCTGATTGGCAATTGATTGAGTTACTATCAATAGAAAGGAATGTCTGGGTTATGATAAGAGGTTGTGGAGTCCAAAATTTTCTCATGCAGATGACGCCTCCAGGTGCCAGGCTTCAGAAAGAATAGATTGTAAATGTTTCTGATCAGATTTAAGGTCTGTGTTAGTGGTAAATGCTGGTCAGCTTTTCCTGAATTCCAAAAGGGAAGAGGGCATAATGAGGCATGTTCAACACCTGTGTCCCATAGTGGCCTCAGCCAGTCTTTCAGGTTAACTTTTGAGCACCCTGGCTGAGGGTGTCAATTGAGATGGTTAGGAGAGGGTGGCTTTGATGTTATTTTTGGTTTACAACATGCAAGATGTTGAGAGGAAACAGACACCACCTCCCTCCCTGGATGAGGACAACACTCCAGTCACCCCTGCAGTTGATCATGGACAGGCGTCTTAAGCTCCACCAGTCTGATGACCACCTGCTGAAGAGGTGTCATTGTCCTAGGTAAATACTAAGGGTTTGTCATCTCAAGCCAAGAAGATTAAGGACACTGACACACGAGGAGTGAGTTTAGGAGCAAAGGGTTTAATAGGCAAAAGAAAGACAAAGGGGAACAACTCTCTTCTTGTGAGAGAGAGGGGCACCCAAAAGGGAATTCTGGCCTGGAATGGGAGTGCATCGGATTTTACAGGGGGGCTTGAGGAGATGGTGTCTGATTTATGTAGGGCCCACAGGTTGGTTGGACCAGGTGTGATATTTACATAAGGGGTGTGGAAGGCTGTTCACCCCACCCTCATCCTATTATGCAAATGGACTTGCCACTTGGCCGGCGCCATGTTGTCTGCTCCTTACTGTAAGGAAGGAGCCTGGCAAAGAGAAGGGAAGATGGAGTCAGCATTGTGAACATGCCCAGTCCCAGGTGTCCTATTCCTATTGGCACAGCTGCCGGCATTCACCCGTGCAAGCTTCCAGCTTACTTGTCTATGTCTGAAACTTGATATTACAGGCTGCACCTTGATAGAAAAGAAAATAATTTGGAGCCTGCTTTTCATTAAAAGCCTTCTGTATCCTCACTACCTGTCTAAACACTTTCTCTTTCACTCCTATATCACTGCCATACTCTGAGCCAGAATTCGGTGACAGAGAGGCTGGGACTGTGCAGACCACATTTTAGTAAAGATGGCTGAGTGACAGTAATGATGTCCAGTTTCCAGGTGCAGAAGTGACATCTGTCCTGGCCTCAGGGTCCAGTGTCCAGCACCAGAGTGTCAGAGGTGTGAGTAGTGGCATCTGTGCTCAGCAGCAGGGGCAGTTGTTCCTAGGAGGGACCTGATCCAGGGTGGGCTGTGGATTCTGTTCCTGGATGTGTAGGTTCCAGCCTGCTTCTGTGGCCTTTCCCACAATAAAACTAGCCCCCAATACCAGATATATGACTTTATGTGTACATTACAGAAATTTGTTTTCCATAGTTTGCTCCAAGAAGTGAGTGAGAAATGAATCTGTGGGCGGGTATCAGAGAGCCCCATTCAGAGGTGTTCCTTGTGTGAGAGCCACATCCTGAATTGTCTACCTGGCGTCTACCCCATGGCAGAAAGAACAACAGGGAATGTCACATCTCATAACTGATGATACACAGCCTCCCTTTTCTTTTTGTGAGAAAAATCCTCTTTTAAACAGGATTTGAAAATCCACCCCACCCACCCACTCTGGGCACTCTCTGATCACTGATCTCAGTGGTTCCTGATCTAGTTGAGCAACAGGATTGCTGGCGTGGATTAGAAAATACTTGGGCCACTCCCCAGAACACCTGTCTCAGAGTTTTATGCTCAAGACCAAGGAATTCTTTATATAACAAGCCCTAGAGGTGAGGCTGTTGCTCAGGCACGTGGGATCCTGGTGTTCTTGATCTGGAGACCAGCAACATGAGCTCCAGCCTTTTCATAAATCAAGAATCTCTTGCTCGACTCCAGACTTCCTGGATCTCAGCATCACGTCCAGGTGACCCCTGTTCACACAGGAGTTCCTTGTCTAAGTGTCCTCTAGACATGGGGTCAGAACCGTGCAGTCTGCTCTGGGTGTAGTCTGATCACATCCCTTAGAATTGGAGGTCCAGGGTTCAGTCCTTGCCCTCATTATTTTCCACAGTCAATCACTGCCTTGGGTGCCCTCATCCATGCTTGAGGTTTTAAGTATTGTTTATATGGTGTGACCTCCTAAATCTATTTCTCCTGCCCAGTCTATTTCTCCTTTCCTCTGAACTCCGGAGTTGTCTGTCCAAATTCCACCCCAGCTCCCCAACCTCATTCCTAGTAGACATCTCCTCCACCGAGGGTCTGTGATGCCCCCTCTTCAGTATGCTCCTGCCAGAGTCTCCACATCTCCACTGACAGCAGCTCCACCTTTCTACTCACTCTTTTTACAACTATGGGTGTCCTTAATTCGTCTTTCTCACACCACAGATACAATCCATTGGCAAATGCTGTGAGTCCATCTTCAAATGCATCCAGAATCCCCTCACGTCCCACTCTTTCCCCTTCTCATGCCCTAGTCAAGGTCACCGACATCTCCAGCCTGGAATTGTTTTCCCTTCTGCCTCCCTCGTCCCTCACCTCTCAATTCTGTTGTCAGCACAGCAGTCAGAGATCCTTTTAAAAGAGAAGTTATATCATGGCCCTCTTCTGCTCAAAACTGTCCTCTGACTCTTCATCCCACTCAGAGCAAAGGTCAGATCCAACCCCATTTTCCTCAAGCCCACCTGCTCTGGCCACACCTCTGACCTCACCTCAGTTTCTCTCTGTCCAGCCCTCCTGGCCTCCTTGTTCTTCTGGGAACACAGACACTTTCCTGCCTCCAGTGCATTTGGACTGGAGGTTCCTCTGCCTGGAAAGAACTTCCCCAGACATCGTCATGTCCCTCAAATCCTTCCTCAAAGGTCACCTTTGCAACAAGGCACACACTGACTACCCAGCACAACAGCCACCTTCCCTGTCCCCACTGCCCACATCCTGGATCACCTGCCTCACAGCACTTACCACTTTCTAGAAATTTCCTACCTTACTCTGGTTATAGTGTGTCTATCGTCTGCCTCTTCCCACTGGAACATGTGCTACAAAAGGCCAGAGATTTTTCTGATTTTACTTCAGTGGTGTTCCCAGATGCAGAACCATTCTGTCCTATGTCTGGTCAATGACAAAGGTCAGTTGAATGAATGATCACTGTAGAGCACCTCCCTATTCTAAAGGCAGCATCTTTATTAACATAGCCTCAGGCCAAATGCTGTTTTGTGGCAGCTACAGCACAAGGTCCCCTCACACTGAGATAGAGGCCGCCTATGTTTTTCTCAGCAGTGCTGCTTGTGTGTCCTCCCTCCCCCATCCCTCATTCTACAGCAACGCCCCCCGCACCCCCCACTCCAGCACACTGCAGCTCACAACCAGGTTCTCTCTTCAGGAAATAACAGTCCTTGATGATGGGTCCAATTTCACAGACAAATATAAGTCTAAATTACACTCTGCTTTATAGATTCATGAGTTGGGGTTGGATTCAGCGCCAAGATCACTAGAACCAGGGCAGGGAGAGAGGGCAGGAGAGCAGAGCAGAACAGAAGCTCTAGAAGCAGGGCAGGAGGTGAATGGCTCTGAAAATTTGTCTCAGAATGCAGAGACCCCCGTGTGCAGGGGCCACCCTGGGCGATGTTTGAGCCTCTGTGGTCACAGTTCCCACTGGACAAGTTTCCACTGAAGACGGAGCAGTGAAGGTGACCCAGCTGAGGACTGACCACATAAAGCCCACGAAGAACTGAACAGCAACTAGGCACAGGCCCAGTCCACACTGGGCTCCCCACAGCCTTCTCCACCCCTACCTGCAACAGACTCAGCACAGGGAACATGCGGATTCTGGAAGGTTCTCAGGTCTTTATTTGCTCTCTGAAACTCTAGGAATTGACCTATTCAATTAATCCATCAACCTCTCATAGCAAATATTTGAGAAAACAAATTTATATTCAGATTCTTATTTTCAGTAGGGAAGTAAGAAGTTGCAGCTCAGTGCACATAAAGTTGAGACTGAGATGGAGACATCCAGCCCCACCTCTCTGGAACAGGAAAGATGACTCGGGAAGAAACACTGGTCAGCGTGGGAACAGGGGTCATGGTGGACACGGGGGTGGGCTGTCCCTCCACCTCCTCACATTCTGCTAACAGGGACGCAGACACATTCAGATGCCTTTGCAGAAAGAGATGCCAGAGTCTCTTAAAGTCACAAAAGGGAGATGTGAAGAAATCCTGCATCTCAGTCCCACACAAGACGATTGTCTCAGGCTACAGAAAACAACAGTCATGAACAAATTTAAGTCAGTCATGGTAAGTGATGACACTCTGAACAGCCTACCACACACTCGAAACGTCACAATCAAAGAATCTCCATTACCCAGGCCTTTCCCCTCTGCCCTCCCCCGCCCCGACTCTAGACCCCAAGAATCTCACCTTTTCAAGCCGTGAGAGACACATCAGAGCCCTGGGCACTGTAGCTGGCTGGGGTAGAACAAAAACAGGACCTCGTCAGAGCCCGCAGGAGACATGGGACAGGAGGAATTATGGGGTTCGTGAGCTCCTCCACACTCCCACCCCCACCACTTACACACAGCCTGAGAGTAGCTCCCTCCTTTTCCACCTGTGGGAAGAAAATGTCCTGTGAGGGGACTGGGAGGAAGCAGGGCCATAAGATCTTAGAAGAACCTCCTTTGGACCCAAGAGAAATTTCCAGAATGATGACTACAGACCCAGGGCAGGATCAGGAAACAGGAGGAAAGCAGGTGTGTGTCCTGGACCAACTCCCCTCCTAAGGTCTGTCCTTAGCAGGGACCTTCCCCTGACTCGTGAATGCTGGAATCAGGACCCCAGTACCACAATCATCAAGGTGATACATCCGTCCTTCATTGTCACATGTGCTGCACAGAAGAGTAAGTGCTGGCACACAGGGCCCCAGGCTGGATTAGCCCCTGTGTGGATGTTGCTTCCCAGTAATGAGGCAGTGAACACTTCTACCTGGGGCTTGAAATCCCCAATGGGACAAGAAAACCCAGACCCCACCCCTCACCTCTTCCCTACCTGAGCTCTTCCTCCTCCACATCACAGCAGCAACCACAGCTCCGGTGACCACAATTGCTAGGACAGCCAGGCCAGCAACAATGCCCACAATGGGGATGGTGGACTGGGAAGATGGCTCTGGGAAAGGAGGGGAAGGTGAGGGGCCCTGACCCTGCTGAAGGGCTCCAGAAGGGCTCCTGCTTTCCCTGAGAAGAGACATGATCAGTCATCCACCTCCTTACCCCATCTCAGGGTAAGGGGCTCCGGCAGCCCCTCATGCTGCACATGGCATGTGTATCTCTGCTCTTCTCCAGAAGGCACCACCACAGCTCCCCACTTCTGGAAGGTTCCATCTCCTCCTGGCCTGGTCTCCACAAGCTCGGTGTCCTGAGTTTGGTCCTCCCCATCCCGCTGCCAGGTCAATGTGATCTCCGCAGGGTAGAAGCCCAGGGCCCAGCACCTCAGGGTGGCCTCATGGTCAGAGATAGGGTGGTGGGTCACATGTGTCTTTGGGGGTTCTGGTGGGAAGAGTCAGAAAATTCAGGCGCTTTGCATCTCTCATGGGACACTCCAGCAACACCCATATGACCACCCTGAGAACGAACAGGACACCTGGAGTGGGGAAGAGAGCACAGAACTCAGACACCAGCATGGACACAGGCCACCTGGGATAATCTCCTATTCCTTGGAGAGTTCTAGACTCTGAGGGAGGAACAGCAACTTCTGGTCCTGACCTGAGTGGAGGCCGAGGGACTCAGAAAAGCTGGAATCAGACCTTCAAACACATTGAGTGTGAGGCAGAGAACAAGGCCTGAGAGAAAAGTTCACGGTGCCCAAGGCTGCTGCAGGGGTCAAAGGAGACCCCTGATCAGTATTCTAGGGACTGTCTTCCCCTCCATGTCCTCAGAGACGTCATCCCTTAATTGTCCTAGAGAGCGGAGGGGGCCCTCAGAGGAAATCAGGGAAACTCATGCCATTCTCCATTCAAGGGAGGGCGACATTCTAGCGCTGATGCCATTTTCCTCCCCTCCTCATGGGAGGCCATCCCGGGAGATCTAGAGGTGGTGGGGAAGGCTCCCCAGTGCCCCTGGTACCCGCGCGCTGCAGCGTCTCCTTCCCGTTCTCCAGGTATCTGCGGAGCGACTCCAGGCACTCGCCCTCTAGGTAGGCTCTCCACTGCTCCGCCGCACCGGCCGCCTCCCGCTTGCGCTGGGTGTTCTGAGCTGCCGTGTCTGCCGCGGTCCAGGAGCGCAGGTCCTCGTTCAGGGCGATGTAATCCTTGCCGTCGTAGGCTAACTGGTGATACCCGCGGAGGAGGCGCCCGTCGGGTCCCAAGTCGCAGCCGTACATCGTCTGGATGGTGTGAGACCCTGGCCCCGGCCCCGCGGTCAGCCCCGCCCACCGAGCCCCGCCCCGCCCTGTTCAACCCGCGAGGATTTTGGCCTCAACTGAAAATGAAATCCGGTAAAGGCGCCTGGGGCTCTCTCCGGTGGAGGGTCTGGGCGGGCCCCGCGGCCTCGGGGCGGATCTCGGACCCAGAGACTCGGGGCGACCCGTCCGTGGGGGATGGGGAGGGGTCGTGACCTATGCCCCGCGCCGGGGTCACTCACCGGCCTCGCTCTGGTTGTAGTAGCCGGGCAGGGTACGCAGGCAAACTCGGAAATGCTGTGCGGTGTCCTTGACTCTCCGTGTCTGCTCTTCCCAATACTCCGGCCCCTCCTGCTCCATCCACCCGCGCCCGCAGCTCCATCTCCGGACTCTCGGCGTCGCTGCTTCGGAGCACTTGAACTGCGTGTCGTCCGCATAGCCGGCGAGATGCCAGGGTTCCCCATGATCAGGCAGGACACCGGCGGTGGTGAAATACCTCAAGAGTGCAGGCCTGGGCGAGGGAGAGGCTGAGACCCGCCCGACCCTCCTCCCGCGCTCGGGTCGCGCTCCCGCCTGTGGTCCCCTCGCTCCTCCCCGCAGAGAGGCCGTTTCCCTCCCGACCCGCACTCACAGCCCGAGGTCTCCAGTCCAGGGCCAGAGGCCCCGAGGCAGCAGGAGGAGGAGGTTCGAAGCGCCACAACCCGCATCTCAGCGTCTGAGGAGGCTCAGAGCCAGGTGGCGTGGAGACTTTAGAACTGAGACCGGCAGCGCTGATTGGCTTCTCTAGACATCCGACACCCAATGAGAGTGGGACCTGGACGTGTCAGGAGTATCCTGGAAGATACAGGTTGGGAGAAAATACAGGAAGATACAGGTTGGGAGATACAGGTTGGGAGAAGATACAGGTTGGGAAGAGTGAAAGTAGGGGAGTGGGAATCCCCAACTCTGCGCCTCCCAATGCAGACAAGGCTCTGGAGCCTGAGACCCTAGAGCCCACGCCCGGGACCTGAGACCGTCCTGATCCTCTTCTCCTACACCAAGCCTCTTTGTCACACTGTCTGCACGGGTGCATGGGCGAGGATCTGTCTGTATGGAAACAGGAGAGACCCCAGGCTGTGGCTGCCCCTTCCCTACCGTCGTGGAATCAGTCCCTGAACTGGACTCCCTGCCTCCTCCCTCTCTCCTTGGACCTTTCTGGAAACTCACCACGAGAACTTCATGCCAGAGAGAGGCTCGCCCATGGGGGAAATGGAGGTGTAGAGACAGGGGTTTTCTCTAAACCTGGTGAAGTTTTGTCTGATTCCACCCGTAGATATTCTCATAGAGACGAAGTTTCTTTGTTTAGTAATACAGTGACTGTACAATGTTGATAATCCTGAATGATTAGAAATCCAATCTCATAAGACCTGTCAAAAAAACTAGCATACAAGCTCTTAAGTTTTGCTTTTAGACTATGGATCTGTGCCTCTGGGTTGCTGCATTTAAAATTACCTTCATTCCTTGGCCAGAACATGTGTGAGTCCAGAACATGTCCTGAATACAGAGAAGCAGAGGGTTTATTCACTGTCTATTGCAACCGGGAGCCTGTAGTCATCACCTCAAGACGCTGATTGGCTTCTCTAGACATCCGACACCCAATGAGAGTGGGACCTGGACGTGTCAGGAGTATCCTGGAAGATACAGGTTGGGAGAAAATACAGGAAGATACAGGTTGGGAGATACAGGTTGGGAGAAGATACAGGTTGGGAGAAGAAGTGAAAGTAGGGGAGTGGGGAATCCCCAACTCTGCGCCTCCCCAATGCAGACAAGGCTCTGGGAGCCTGAGACCCTAAGAGCCACGCCCGGGACCTGGGACTTCGTCCTGATCCCTCTTCTCCTACACCAAGCCTCTTTGTCACACTGTCTGCCTGAGTCCTGGACGAGGATCTGTCTGTGGAAACCAGGGAGAGACCCCCCAGGCTGCGCCCAGCCCCTTCCCCTTCCCTACTCGTCGTGGAATCCCAGTCCCTGAACTGGACTCCCTGCCTCCCACTCCCTCTCCCCTTGGACCTTTGTACAGGAAAACTCACCACGGGGAACTTCATGCCAGAGAGAGCTCGCCCTGGAAATGGAGGTGTAGAGACAGGGGTTTTCTCTCTAAACCTGGTGAAGTTTTGTCTGATTCCACCACGTAGATATTCTCATAGAGACGAAGTTTCCTTTTTGTTTATTAATACAGTAGGTAGCACAATGTTGATAATCCCTGAATGATTAGAAATCCAATCTGTAAAAGACCTGTGTCAAAACAGCATTACAAAGCTCTTAAGTTTTACTTTCCCAGACTATGGATCTGTGCCTCTGGGTTGCTGCATTTAAAATTACCTTCATTCCTTAGCCCGAGTTTCCCTGTGTGAGTCCAGAACATGTCCTGAATACAGAGAAGCAGGGTTTGTTACTGTCTATTGCAACCGGGAGCCTGTAGTCATCACCTCAAAGTCGCGAGTGCTCCATGCAGACCCAATGCTCTTCACCGACACTCAAGCACTGCCTGTTTTCCTGAACTATGCACATCTAAGCAGTGTGCATATTTTATCTGGACACTTGGTATTTTTATAACTCTTTCTTTTTTTAATCATAAGGAGCCAATTAGCTTTTAGGAAGTCCAACAAAATTTATTGAATACCGAATGCAAAGAACCCCCTGCTAGGCTCTTCCACTGCGTTAGAATTCTTTCCTCTGCTCCTTTTCCTCACCTCCTCCTTCTCCAGCCCTTCTCTCTGCCCCTCGCATCCCTCACACCCCACCTTCCCCTAAGTCCTCGCTACCCTGTCACTCCTGAAATGTGGCACTAACACTGTCCCTCACCTCCTGCCCATGTCTGTTCTCCCCACAGTGCTCAGCAGTCCTGCTAATGTGAGCAAAGTCCTGTCATTTCTTCACTTAACAATGGTTGGATTCTGGTCTACAATTTGCTATATGTTTTCAATTCGTCTCATCTCTTTTTGTTTCTGTTCCTCCTCTACTACTTCCTTATGTGTCAAATAAACATTTTGTAGTTTATGATTTTAATTCTCCTAGTGGTTTTTGGCTATATTTCTTTACACTAATTTTTTACTGTTGTAAGAATGGAAACCCAATTCCTTGGCTTTTCACAGTGAAGTTCAGGTTATATTAAACGACACCCGGCAAAATAAAGGACACTTGTAACAGTGTAGCTTTGGGGGCGGAGCAAGATGGCCAAATAGGAACAGCTCCAGTCTCCAGCTTCCAGCGCGAGCGACACAGAAGACAGGTGATTTCTACATTATCAACTGAGGTACTGGGTTCATCTCACTGGGGAGTGCTGGATAATCAGTGCTGGTCAGCTGTTGCAGCCTGACCAGCGAGAGCTGAAGCAGGGCGAGGCATTGCCTCACCTGGGAAGCGCAAGGGGGAAGGGAATCCCTTTTCCTAGCCAGGGGAACAGAGACACACAACACCTGGAAAATCGGGTAACTCCCACCCCAATACTGCGCTTTAAGCAAACGAGCACACCAGGAGATTATATCCCACACCTGGTCGGGAGGGTCCCACGCCCACGGAGCCTTCCTCATTGCTAGCACAGCAGTCTGCAATCTAACCGCAAGGCAGCAGCGAGGCTGGGGGAGGGGTGCCCGCCATTGCTGAGGCTTAAGTAGGTAAACAAAGCCCTGGGAAGATCGAACTGGGTGGAGCTCACAGCAGCTCAAGAAGGCCTGCCAGTCTCTGTAGACTCCACCTCTGGGGACAGGGCACAGCTAAACAACAACAACAACAAAAAGCAGCAGAAACCTCTGCAGATGCAAGCAACTCTGTCTGACAGCTTCGAAGAGAGCGGTGGATCTCCCAACACGGAGGTTGAGATCTGAGAACGGACAGACTGCCTGCTCAAGACTGACACCCCACACCTCACACGGTGGAGTACACCCCTGAGAGGAAACTTCCAAAGCAAGAATCAGACAGGTACACTCGCTGTTCAGCAGTATTCTATCTTCTGCAGCCTCTGCTACTGACACCCAGGCAAACAGGGTCTGGAGTGGACCTCAAGCAATCTCCAACAGACCTACAGCAGAGAGTCCTGACTGTTAGAAGGAAAACTAACAAACAGGAAGGACACCCACACCAAAACCCCATCAGTACGTCACCATCATCAAAGACCAGAGGCAGATAAAACCACAAAGATGGGGAAAAAGCAGGGCAGAAAAGCTGGAAATTCAAAAAATAAGAGCGTATCTCCCCCTCCAAAGGAACGCAGCTCATAGCCAGCAACGGATCAAAGCTGGATGGAGAATGACTTCGACGAGATGAGAGAAGAAGGCTTCAGTTCATCAAACTTCTCAGAGCTAAAGGAGGAATTATGTACCCAGCGCAAAGAAACTAAAAAGCTTGAAAAAAGAGTGGAAGAATTGATAACCAGAATAATTAATGCAGAGAAGGCCATAAACTAACGGACAGAGATGAAAACCATGACACGAGAAATACGTGACAAATGCACAAGCTTCAGTAACCGACTTGATCAACTGGAAGAAAGAGTATCAGCGATTGAGGATCAAATGAATGAAATGAAGCGAGAAGAGAAATCTAAAGAAAAAAGAAGAAAAAGAAATGAACAAAATCTGCAAGAAGTATGCGATTATGTAAAAAGACCAAATCTATGTCTGATTGGGGTGTCTGAAAGTAAGGGGGAAAATGGAACCAAGTTGGAAAACACTCTTCAGGATATCATCCAGGAGAACTTCCCCAACCTAGTAGGGCAAGCCAACATTCAAATTCAGGAAATACAGAGAACGCCACAAAGATACTCCTCGAGAAGAGCAACTCCAAGACACATAATTGCCACATTCACCAAAGTTGAAATGAAGGAAAAAATCTTAAGGGCAGCCAGAGAGAAAGGTCGGGTTACCCACAAAGGGAAGCCCATCAGACTAACAGCAGATCTCTCGGCAGAAACTCTCCAAGCTAGAAGAGAGTGGGGGCCAATATTAGCATTCAAAAGAATTTTAAACCCAGAATTTCCTATCCAGCC